CAAGTTTATACAAAAAAAGACACGTGTATTTTTATGTTATGCGTTCTGAAAATATCAGAAGCAATACCATCACCCTGTAGAGGGGTGGTCACGCGAAAATTGTCCTTCTTTTTCTCCGTTATGGTTCCATACGAAAAAAAAAATTAAGAATAAAAGCTGCGGAGATTTTTAAACATTTTTTGACATATATCACAAAGAAAATAATTGAATATCATATATCCGAGATGTAAGACTAACTTCTGTTTTTTAATACGAAATACGTACTTAAAATTGGAGGGTATGTAAAACATGTCTAAATATGATGAACACCTTAGAGTTTTTGTCAGTGGCGGCCCCTAAGGGAGATACGGCCCCTTGAAGGGGTAACTCAGAAAACAGTTTTTATTTCATAACTTCAAAACTGTTTAAAATTAAGTCATGAAATTTTGGGGTTGTATTACTTTTTATGTGCTTAATAATCGGTATAATATACAAATCAAAATTTGTTATAGGGGCGTAAGAAAATGCGGGACCATGGATCAAATTTTGCAATTTTTTTGTACGCAATTTTTTCTGCTTCCTGAACCGAAAATATGGAAATGTTTTATTTTCTCTCCAATGTTGAGTACTTGTTTCGTTAACATCTTGCATAGAACTTCCTGTAGATCTTTACGCCATTGGAAAGATCGTCAAAAGAGCTATTCAAAAACGTAGTAGCCCTGGATGGATATTGACAAGTTAAAAAAACGTATCTACTACATTCAATTGTTTGTATTGTATTTTTTTTTATAAAATCCTTACAACTTTTAATTTTATATTTTTTATATCTCGAACGGAAGGGAATAAAAAAGAGGAACGAAATTTCCGCACGACTAAATGACAAAATACATTTTTGCAACCCTCACTATAGAAATGTTCGGTTTTCTTCAACGACTGACGACGTGATTTGCTTCTGTTTTACTATACCAGGGGAACACCTCCCGTCTCTCATTAAGCTCTCTTCCAGGGCAGTTTTGTGCAAGAACATGTAGTGAGCCTTCAGATTGCTCTTGTGCTTGAATTTCCGAAAACATATCTGACACTTAAACTGAGGCTCCACCCCACACTCGTATTTGATGTGCCTGACTAAATGGCCTTTCTGCTTATACGATGAATTGCAATTGGGGCACATGTACCGTCCGTTCGCGTTTGTCGCGAAATGCATGTACCTGAAAGCTGGTGAGATCAATCCATTATTTTATATGATAAGAGATAGAGATACATATTAAAAAATAAAAACAAAACAATGCAGAAATCCTTGAAGACAAAACAATCAGCTCACTGGACTTGACAAAGATTATGTTACGGTGTACGAGAAAATAACGGAAAAGCACAAAATAAAAAACAGTGTGAAGTTTACAATATTTTTAAGTTTTGCCATTCATTACATTAATATTATAATTTATAGGGTGAGTAACCCTTATATGTTCATTCATTTCACCCAGGTCAGTATCTTAAAACATACAAAAAAAACACTGGACAACTTTCTTGCAATAATATTTCTTATGTCTCGTATAACTAGTCTTATATTCGTACCTTCTTTTGTAAACATCACAGAAATAACCTAAAACAGGAAGTTTTTAATTCAACACCAGGTAGGTTTGTATAAATAATATTTTAAAGACTTTCTTAATCTAAAACTTACCTAATACTTGTGTAAAAATGTTCTCCATTTAAAATATTACAATTTGAAATCTGAACCAAATAAAATAAAATAGGTAATTGCCAATTATTATATTTACCAAATTTATTTTTTCACGTACAAAAAGGTAACGACAAACACAAATTATGATTCAGCTTACTAACAAGTTGCCTGAGTGAAAGATACAGAACGTCATTAAAAAAAATCAGTGCAAATCCAACTTGGAATTGTAATAGATACTGGAATACTGCTCCAAGTAAACTGGATGCTTGAATTTAATGTGGCTTAATATCGGGGGTTTCTGCTTGGATGCGTATGAGCAGTAGGGACATTTGAAAGTAGCAGCTTTTCCACATTCTAATCTCAAGTGCCGACGAAGGCTGGACTTGAATTTATATACCTTGCTGCACTGTCCGCACGTATGCACCTCTAAAAAACATTTAAAATATAGCAACAATATTAGTTGTAGGAACAACAATATGTATCATGCGTTTTACTGCCAGCATGAAATATTACGAACTTTAAGTAATACAGTAACAGTTACTGAAAGTACCACAAAAACAGAATATTTATTTAAAAAAAGCATTTACTGACAATCATATTAAATCAATCGAGTTGTGATTCATCTGGTTTGTTTCGAATAAACTAACGCTAACATACTTGTCGAGCCTCGCGCCGTGTGAAACCGCCTTAAGACTAATAATATAAACCAATACACTTCAACAGTTACAGCACAGTAGAAAATATGTATTGACTTGATGTATTTTTACATTGCATAACTCATTTGTAGCACGCTTTAAAAAACTAATTTTGAGATTATGAAAATGTAAGGTTTTTGATAAATAAATTTATTGTTGAAGAACCGAACTTCTTGAAAAAATTTCATTGCCAGGTTTTCAATTTAAATAAAATATTTAAAAGGTGTGGGTATTCTCAACTAAATCTATCAGGTCCAGGAAAAAGATATATCGTACAAGTTATGTCACAAATATATTTACAGAAATATAATCATACAGATCTGGCTCCCCTATGTCGCTCTTTCAAGGCATACTACGTACTACACCATGAACGACGGTCAAATGAGAATTGAGATTGCCCTTTCTCTTTGTCATATAGCTGCAGCCTTTCACAGCACAGGCCAAGGTTTTAGTTTTGCCACAATCGAATTTCGTATGGTTGTAAAGCGAAGCCCTGTGTTTGTATTTTCTACCGCAGCTTGTACACCGGTGAAAAGCTGAAAAAATAACCAGTAAAGAAAGAGGGAAATTATAATCAGATTTAATAAAAAAAAGATCCTAGAGTAATATAACAGCGTTACTGAAATTATTTATTAATTAATATTAAATACATACATGGTAAAGCAGTCATCTGTTAATTTACATGTTTAAAGAGATGAAAAAAACACTAACAATATCGTGAAACAAATAAAAATTCTCCAATAAAACTTAATAGATATCACGATTCACGTCTTTTTTCTGTCAATTCATATATTGCGAAATAAGAACATAATAATTTATATACATATATATATATATATATCAGTTTTAAATAATAAAGTTTATTATTTTATGCGTCATGAGATTCACTAAATCTTCGCTTTTTAATTTAGGTATAGCAAGTTTAAGCTTTAAACTCACTGATACAAATCAAGTATTTTTGAAGAAACAATTCCTCGTGCTTTTATCCATATTCATACATTATGACAAGCGCACATTGTGTCTAATCCTCAAATGAGCAGATAACTCCTGTTTGTAATAGAATTTATAATCGCATATGTGACAAAATACTGTTTTCTGTTTTCCACATTCTACGCGTTGGTGTCTTCTTAAATTTGTCTTTATGCTGTATGATTTTCCACAGGAAGCACAGTAGAACCTTGTACCTAAAAACCAGTTTGAGTCAACTCAAAGAAAATTAAGAAATATGACTGTGACATACAAAGGAATATAAAGTTGAAGTATACACATAAGTCGACAACGACTTGCAGAACAGCTTATTAAGAAAGTATAATATACACTCACTATTTGCCACAAAAGTACATACCCCATTTTGAAGAAATTTTGGCACTCAAACTGAAGAGACTTGAAGTGTCTGCAGTTTCACTTTAAAAAATTACATTTTATTTGTATTCGACACAACAACAATCAGGATTTGGTTCCACGAATAATTTGTGGAAAATCAAAATATATTTCCGAACTTACCTGAATAGTTGTTATTACTTTTATCGTTTAAAGCTGCTAAATTTAAACCTAAGCTTTTTATAATGCGTTACTTTTTGGACATCCAATACTACTAAAATTATATTTCCATATCTTTTTTAATGTTCCTATTTTTATTAAACACTCAGTACATACAATAAACTCTACTAATAAATCTACTCAGATCTCAAGCTATAATTTTAGAGTTTCAAATACTCTTTATGCTTGTTATACATATGGTACTGTAATTCTTGCTTATAATAAAAGCTGTGTCCGCAAATCTGGCAGATAATATTTTTGGCTTTCCCGCATTCAACCTTTTGGTGCCTCCTTAGACTGCCTCTGTGGTGATAGATTTTGGCGCACTTGTCGCATCTGAAAACGTTTTTCTTGTTGCCTTGATCCTGTATCAACCCTAAAATAAGTAGAGGATAACAGTTGTGATATAATTTACAAGGGTTCTAAATCAAAACAATTGTTAACAATTAAATTATAGTTAGTAATAGAACTCCAGTTATTTTATTTATGCTACAAGTGAAGAAATATTTAACAAAAAAGTATTAAAGATCTATGAATATATTTATCACCTTTACAAACATAAGTATATAACTATATCTTGGACATTTTAGTCATACGAGTGAACCCTAATTGCGATAGGTCTACAGTGGTTCTATTATAATTTATTTTACATGTAGGAGTAGGAGTTGTATTCGTTGTACAGCAAACCTTCTTGCCCTGGTTCAGTTTCTAGGTAGGCCCGTAATAGTGAACCTGAAACAACATTTCTATAATTCTAGTTTGAAACGAATAAATACATGTGTTTTTTATATATAGATATGTATAACCATAACCATGTTCCTTTCAGACTAATCAAAGAGAATAAATTGTTAATTCCCAATCCAATAACAAAAATATGTACAGTAAAAGACGTTTGGTTTTTTGTTCGACATCCACTTGTTTCACTAGGTCCTTTCAATCATGAGTTCTGACCCTTAATCTATAATGTTGAAAAATTCAGAATTCTATTCAATTTCAGAATTATCTGTTGTCGCACCAGTCTCGAAAAATAATACTTCTCATTGAAATTTCACACATTTATTGCAATACACATACAATAATGTAAACAAAATCTCACACTCGCCTTTTAAGAAAAATAAATACACTTAATAATTTGCAGTTCTACGATTTAATCTAAAATTAAATTGTCCTATCCACACAATTCAAACTCTCCATAATTTACATCTACATAATTAATGTTTTTGCTTTGTTCTCAGAGGATTATATTTTAAAAAATGTTCGTTGGACATTCTTTTCTATTCGTTTATAAACAGTAACTACAAGGGCATAATAAAAATATCATGTATGGAAAGAATATGTCGCTTAAGACTATCCTTCTGGCTGTATCTCTTCTTGCATATGTAGCAATGGAACTGGGGGTCTTCCCCGCAGTTGTACTTCATATGCCTTATTAAGTTACTTCTATACTTGAACCCTTTTTGGCATCTGGGACACCAGGGATATACTGTAGAGAAGCCTGAAATTGAAAATTTTTAATGAAATGAACAAAGTGGTGAGTATAAAAGTACAATAATTTCCACGACATGGCCAAAGAAATAAAACTGGACTCCTCGCCATAGATTTCATGCTGTCCTAGAATTTAGTAAAATTTTAATTAATTAAATACAAAAAAGTCGATAAATCCACAAATAAATCCCTATTCCAGAAGAGCCACTGGAGAAAGTTTGAATCAGTCAGACTCGAGAATATATTTTGACGATAAATAGGAATATTTTTTCAAAACAGCTCCCTTTTCTGGATACAGCAGTGAAGATGTTTAAAAAAATGCTTTTTTTATTTGCTTTTCAACTAATGCAATTTGTAAACAATTTTCGGATTGTTTTATATAATTCCATTTTCAAAAAGTTGATTCAAACCAGAAATTATATGCCTTCTGAGGCAAAATACATATGAAATGTGCCATAAAACTGTGACAAATGTCAAAAAATATCAAGAAACATTCCATTTATAATTTAAAATTTCATGAAAAAAATGCCTTTACCTCCGTCACTGGCTGTTTGGAGAGCTTGATATTCCTCCATGTTAAGAGAGCTTGTCCAAATGTGATTTAGTTTGAATATTTGTGTATCTTTTAGAACAATTCTCGAATGCAACGTTAAAAATTACTCGCTCTGTATAATTTTAGCAACATATAACACAAATAAACGGGCGATAGAAATTACCTAAATAATTTCATAATAAATTACTGAATAACTGAATAACTGAATTTTCAAGCAAACATTTTGAAAAGATTTAAATTTAATTTGAAGAAATTCTCGACGAATTTTTATACATTTTACAAAAAATATCCTTCGAGCCGGATTTGAACCAGCGACCTATGGATGTCTACAATTCAATTCCACTACAGTCCACCGCTCTACCAACTGAGCTATCGAAGGTTGTTAACGAAAAAGAAAAATACGGATTACGTCGGAGTAAACACGAAATTTTAAGATAACCAGGTCGCAGAACTTTCACTTTGTTGCCCCAGATTTAGTCATCGGTATAAACAATTATTCATATTTTGAGTGCAAGTGATAAACAAATGTATCTAAGTGTAATACATTTGATAAGCAACAACAATAAGCGTCAGAATATTGTATTAAGGCTTTAGTCCAGTCACTGAAGGTAAAATACGGCGTTTCCCAATCAGCACCGATTTGCACCAAAATTTGGATTTAGGTTCTTCTTACCCTCTACTTCAAAGTTGGCCCTGGCCGGGGGTTGCTTTTTATTTTTTAGGGGTGAAAACTACCCCTGTTCGAAAATAATTATAGAATTGTAGATTCGAGCGTGTAATAGGTTGAAATCATCTTTAAATAAGTAATTATGATGAATTGAAAATTTTCTATCCCTAAAAACCAGCCCCTATGACAGAAACCATTAAAAAATAATGTTGAAAAATATTACTCAGCAATTTGGATTAATTTAATCATCGTATAGTGATATTAAATTAAGATTTCTTTACTGCTTTAATTTTTTATTATTTATTTATAAGTTTCAACCCTTATAAGAACCACCCTTTGCAAAAAAAATCGAACACTTAGTTAAACATTTTTTTTTTAGTTCGAAATATAATATAATATTTTTATTATTTAAAATGTAATGTATTTATTTTGTCAAACCTTAAAAAAAACCTACTGATTAAAATTTGCAATCAAAAATAGGGAAAATAGGAATTTTATTTTTATATGAATTTAAATTTTTTTATATTTATAACATTTTTTTATTGCAAATAACATAAATAATCAAATTCATCAATGCTTCAATATACGTGTTCTGATATGTGCAAAAATATGTGATTGGTTTTTTACCCATAACTCGCTTAGTTTCCAAAAGCCCTTCAAAAAAAATTTTGTAGGTTTTTTCAAAGGCTATAAGATCAAATAAGTTAAATTTTCTTTGAGCCCTTATTTTTGTAAGGGTTTGAGCTGAAAGGGCTTGAACAAGTTGCTATTTACGAACATATGCAAACTTTAAACGGTCATATTTTACTTAATTTTTATCCTACAGAAAAAAAAAACAAAATTTTCAAGAAGTTTTCAAAACCTACAATTTTGTACTGTACAAAATTTTGCGTATCATTAATAGTTTTTGAGTTATTTTGAAGAAATGACAATTTTTTCCAAAAATACAAAAATTCTCTTTTCACTTCAAGCTCAACTTTATTCAAAACTAAGCACTTTAAACCGGTCAAACCTCTCTAGAGCATATTACAAGTAGGTACATAAATAAAGTAAATTGAAAAATGGTAACGATTATTTTCAATTGGGATGGTAATTAGGGGGTGATTTTCACGTTTTTTGTTGCCGAAAACAATACGGACCAACTTTATTTTCGTCATAACTCGCTTAGGTTTGATGCTAGGAACTTTTATAAACCATAAAAATAAAGGTTTTTTCAAGCACTTTAAAAAAGGTTCTATGAATATTCCCTGAAAAATGCATTGGTTTCTGGTTATTTCACGTTAAAACATTCAATTCTGGCGTTTAACGAATAAGAACCAACCTTCAACAAGCTATTACTCCGCTTGTATTGGGTCTACAGACACCGTAAATACACCACTCTTTTTGTTTTATTTATAAGCTACATTTTTTATAAGAAATAATTTTTGATAAAATACTTACTTTTTGAGTTATTCGCGAAAAATCTAAATCCAAATTTTTACGAAAATCGGTGTTGTTTGGCAAAATTATACGGGAAAATGGTCATTAATTGGATTACATGTTTAGTGTGGTTTTTTTAAAAAAAATTCCTTCGAGCCGGATTTGAACCAGCGACCTATGGATGTCTATTCTACGATTCCACTACAGTCCACCGCTCTACCAACTGAGCTATCGAAGGTTGTTATTGAAAATTATTATTTTAAAAGTCTACGCCAAACATCTTCAAATGGTAACCAGGTCAAAATACTTTCTACGCTCGGATCTACATTAAGCTGAACATCAAGAAAACATAACTTATCCATCTTTATGGATAAGTTAGATAAGAAGCCTTATTAATAAAAATCAGTAAACATCCAAAAAAAAGTAAGATTCCAGGTTTAGGTGAAAAAAAAAATAGTCTTTAACAATTTTATTTGCATTAAGTTATAAATACTAAGTTAAAAATGTTTGTGTAAATAAATTGCCCATTAGAAAAATATTTGTGGTATTTAATACAACGAAGCAAGATAATGGTAATGAATTAAGTAAAAAGCATTGAAAAATTGAAATATTTGTTTCCCAACAATGAAATAATGTCAACTTTTAACACTTTTATGTGTCGTAATCTACTATAATAACAGCCAATATGAAATAGTAATTTGATTTATGTTTTAAATCTATTAAAAGTATCACGCTAGTGTAAAGCATCGGCATGGAATTTAGACTGATGGTTGTGAAGGTGATATTTTCTCTTAAATCTTCTCAAACATATATTACACTGGAATATGGGCTGAGATCCACATTCGTAACATAAGTGTCGTTTTAGTTCACGTTTACGCTTGTACTCCTTGGCGTTACATTTTAAACACTGATATCTTCCGTTTGCGAATGCCATAAGCTTCTCTAGAGCACCTAGAAGCGAAATTCTTGAAACACATTTTAGAAACAATACACAAATGCAATAAAGTAACCAAAAAGCGTAAGGCTGGATTTTGAAAGAAAACATGTCAATCAATATTTAAAATTAAAACTACTGATTGTATTAAATTTGTTTTATTTTTATTTTTTTTGAAAAATTAATGAAATCGTAAAAGTGTAGTATATGATTTTGAATGAAATTCTAAATATTCAACCAACAATATTTTTTATCACAGATACAAAACTAAATGTTGACGTAATATTGGTGTAATGTATAAGCGATAAAAATGTATCCCACCATTTAAAATTAACCAAATAAATCGTTATATCTTAAACTTAAATAAAAATGATACTAATTTGTGGCAAATTACCATTTCTCTAATTCTTTGTCGCTGACATTAAAAAAACTGAGTGCAGTTTCCCACAACAAATCAAAAGGGAAAGAAAAATTAAATAACAAATACACTACAAACAACAATACATGTTCTTGATGTAAATCTCAGCGTTTTACGTTTTACATTCATTCATGATGAAAGAGGAAATAATAGTTGCCCCTAACAAATAGTGAAAATACATATATAAAAAATAGTTACTCTATTTCAATTTTTATAAATAAACGAATCGACGAATTCAACATTATAGAAAAATATTTATTCATTTCGCTATTTACTATATGCTATTGATTATAGCAGTTTAAAAGGAAATATGACGTTCAAATTGTCATTTTAGGTGAAAAAATCTCGGAGTGCTATTAAATTAGAGGGTGGAAATTGGACATAGGGGTGAAAATGCACCCCTTTTAGTTTTTTAATTGTAGCTCGAAAACGATGGAAAATTTCGCTAGTTCATAGGAAAAATTATTTAGAGAATTGAATTTCCCATCGAAATGGCTTAGTTAAAAAATTTAAAAGAAAAATTTTATGCAAAAATCGTTAATAAACAATTTTAAATAAGCAAAAAATAAGATTTTTTGATTTTTTTCACTTTTTTATTTATTATTAATTAACAAATAAAACTGAAATATGCTTTTTTAAGTAAAAAACCAATTTGTTGCAAAAATAATAAGAATTATAATCATCATTATGTTAAAAACGAGGAAAATCTAAAAAATATTTAAGTTTGACCGGTTATAACTCAAGTCAATATTAGTCCAAAAGCTTTTGAAAACGCATCATTTTGAAGGGAATCTCATCTAGTTTTCTTTCTCTCTTTTACTAAAAAAAAAATTGTGTCAAAAAATAAAATTAATTAAAAAATCTTATTTTTTGCTTTTTTAAAATTATTTATTAACGATTTTTTGCATAAAATTTTTCTTTTAAGCCATTTCGATGGGAAATTCAATTCTCTGACTAATTTTTCCTATAAACTGTAGTGAAATTTTGCTTCGTTTTCGAGCTACAATTAAAAAACTGAAAGGGGTGCATTTTTCACCCCTCTCTCCCATTTCCACCCTCTAATTTAATAGCACTCCGCGACTTTTTCATCTAAAATGGCCCTTTGAACGATTCATGCAATAAAATTGCTTGAACATCATAGTTCCTTTTAACCCTGTTTTTTTTTTTGATATAGTCAATAGCCTACTACTAATAAGTGCACTTTTTAATGGTTATAATATCATTAATTCAATAAAACTAATATTACTTCCTAGTAATAAAAAGAGGTGTGTTAAAATTAACATTAATAATACTTTACATCATGGACAAATAAAAAAAAACTGATTTAAATTAAAAATTACCTCTGGATCATACATAAAATTTAAAAAAAATGGTAGACTGAATGCAAAACTAGATCAAAGGTACAGAAACCAAATTTAACATATGAATAAAAATGAATGCATGGGCAAACAACGAAATAACACCGAAATTTTTCAGTCAAAACTCAAAATTTCAAAAAGTTAACAATTTAAAATAAATTTATTTAAATCAGTTCTCACAATACCCCTCCTTAGTCTACTCCAGGAAATGCTTGGTTGTCGTCCACCCCTGGTGCTTCTTGGAGCTCAAGTGAAACCTCAAATAATCAGCCCTCTTGCACTTGAAATCGCAGAGATGGCAGGCGAATGTCGCTTCCTTGCCGCATTCGTACTTCAAGTGTCTCCTTATGTTGCCCTTGAACTTGTAACTCTTGTAACACCTAACACAGCTGAATACGCCATTGTGTTCCACGTAATCATCTAAAAATTACAGGGTTAGAGTAAAATGGG